ATCCCTGCCCACGGGGTGATTGCCCTCCTGCTCCCAGCACAGCTCACCCAGCAGCAGTTTTACAACCTTGTCTTTCTTTCCCAGTTGCCACCCGAAGAAAAGGACTCTGCTGTGTCCTCTCTTGAGCTGTCTTTCCCTTTGCTCTCCCTCCAGTCCTGCAGTGAGTAACAGCCTTGCTGTGTGTGGTGCTGCTGCCCCTCCTTGCCTTGGAGATGGTGCATCTTGTTCAGTGTGTTCTCAGCTCGGGGCACATTTTTGCCTCCCTTCCCTTTTTAACTTGCAAGTTTCTCAGGAATCTTTTTTCTCTCTAATAGCCTGCTCTGACTATAAGCCCATTTGCCTCCCTCTTCTCTTGATTTATATTTTTTCCTAACTCTAGTCCTTCTTAAAGTGCTTTTTGCATTTTCTTTGTTGCTTCAGGGGTGTGTGGCCCCCAATAACTGCAGCATGTCAGTGGAGAGTCTGGAGTGGTGGTGCTGCAGATGCAAAGTCTGTGCAAACTGACTGATGGTGACCCTCAGTCAGACCTGTGCATGTGGTAGAACAGGGATCTGAAGACACAGGGCAGCATTTTCTCAGTGGATAGTCCAAAGCTGTGCTTCTCAACCACTGCATGGCCTTTGAACGTGTTTGCTTGTTCCAAGATACGAATCCATAGTTAATTCAGTGGCTTCATTTCCTTCTTATGTTGGTACAAATCAAAGGAAAGGCTCTTGCTTTCATTCCTGGAGGAAGTGATTTAATTTTCCGGTCTCTGAAGCCACCAGCATGAGGCATTTGAGGGTCCTCCACACCCCCTTAGCTGTAAGATCTTGCTTTGCTTTGCCTGCAGAGAGTTCTCCTTGCTCTGACAGGAAACAATCTGGCACTTCTTACTGTGAGGAGCATGGAACTTGGGAAGAACGTGAAATATTCATCCAAAGGCTGCAGTGTGTGGCTGGGCTTTACCTCTGGAGAGGGTTGATGGGGCACTTTCTAATCCCCCTGTGTGCTTCTAAGCTCAGACACCTTCTCAAGGCTTGCTAATGCCCTGCTTGCCCAGCCCTGCTCCTCACTGGGGCTGCACAGCCCTGGCAGGGCTGGAAATGGCCACGGCAGAAAATCCAACAGCAAAGGAAACACCCCTGGCCAGCTTCTCCTGAACCTGGGACAGGGTCGGTTCCTGTGACCTGGGAAGCATCTGGCAGGTTTTTGGGAGGCTGACTGGGGATAGCTCCATGTGGGAACACAGTTGTAGGTTAAACCTCACCTTTCTCAGCTGGAGTCTGATGAAAGCCCATCCTGGGAGCTCTCCAGGAGCTGTATGAGATCAAATACCTTTGTGTGGGGTTACATTGTCTTAACCTTGTTTATCCTCGGGCTTGTTCGTGTGTCTGTGTGGGAATGATCTGCATTTGTCTCTTGGATTTGAGGCAGAGGCACCTGTGATACTCCAAACCCCTGAGTTTCCCTGCATGGTGATTGATACAGATGGTGTTGTCCTGTCACCCTCCACTCTGAGCTTCATCCATGCACAGAACTGGTTGTGATGAGTCCTGAAACTGCAGCATCGAGGGAGTTACTCTTATTTCTTGTTCCATTGCTGTTTGCTGCATCTTTGCCATCGTGACCTCTCCTAAAACCAGCCTGGGGTTGTGCCCACACACCTGAGGAGTCACCAGAAAGTGGGGCTGTAGTGGCAGAACATCTCTCTTGGTTTCTTTCCCCCCAGTGCTGGTTTCCCCCCCAGGAGTGCTGGTTCCCCCAGCAGAAGGTGTGTGTGAGGATGGCAGGAGGGAGGGGATATTCCAGAGCAGTCCCTGCCCAGGCTGTCACCCACATCTCTCTGCCAAGGCAGGAATGTGCCCCGTGCTGGGGCTCTGCCCATGGAGTCTGTTCTGCAGCTGGTGGGCACTTTGTGCACATGTGACTGGCACTGCTGTCTTTGCACAGGTCACAGGAACGAGAGTAATTATCCCAGTTTTCTTTCTTTACTCAGTCTGGTTCCTGCTGGCTTCTCCCCATCTCAGCCAGGACTCCACGTGCAGGTGGAGCAGCTTTTCCCTTGGAAACTAAAGGGAATTCCCTGGGTGGTAGGACCCAAGCTGCAGTTCATTGTCACAAGGGATTGTGACAATCTTTCCAGATCTGGCTGTGGTTAAACTGCAGCTGCCTGTGTTTGTGCCCAGGGAAGGAGCAGGAGATCCCTCCCATGCTGGAGCTGTGGGGAAGCAGAGCTGGAGCTGGGCTTGTTTGGCACTGCAGAGGCACGAGGTGTTCTGGGCTTGGGCGTCTACTGTGGGTTCAGAAAACCTTGCTTTAGCAAGGGTGTTCTTTATAAGCATGTTGTGCTGAGGAGAGCAGCCCTCACTCCTGTGGAGAAGGAATTCCTGCTGATTAACACAGATGGATTTCACTGGGAATTCTCTAACCTTTCCTTTGCTCCTTGTTGAAGGTGAAGTTCACACCACTTAACAAAACTGTTCCTTTACTTCATCTCTTACTCCTACAGGTTAGTACAAGATGCAACACAGCCCAGAAACCAGGGAATGAACTGCTGGGCCTCAAGCTAGGCTGAGGCACTTGGTTTTTGTTACTTTACCTCCTTTCCCATCTCTCCTGCCACCTTCTTGTTTTTGTTGGACTCCTCAGCGTCACTCAAAAGGGATAAATAAAAGTTCCTTTTAATTGTGCACTGAGGGCTGCAGTGGCTGCCTGAAGCAGCATGGACAGCTCAGCACCAGCAGAGCAGGAAGCAGAGGAGATCTCATGAGACAAGTAACAAAATCAGACAAAGAACCACTGACAGCCTAAAGCTTTGCTTAAAACCAGCTGGGCCTGGGGGACAGGAGGGAAGGTGAACCTGTAGGGAGAAGAGCATGTTTGTTCTTGTGATTTGTGTGTGGTTCAGAAGCGTGGCTGAGCTCACCAGGCAGCTCCAGTGCCTGCCCAGGGGCTGTGCCACTGTGCCACAGGGACAGTCTGTGCTGTGAGACAGGAGGACACTGCTGAGAGGGGAGGGGAGGAGGGAGAATTCCAGGAGCAGGACCCTTGGGAATGGGATGAGGAAGGAATGAGTGCTGGCTGTGTGGGTTTGAAGATGCAGGTTGGTGCAGTGCCCTGGGAGGAGCTGGGCACTGACAGCCTTGGGCAGGGTCTGCTCTGAGCTGGGCTGTTCCCTTCCGCTGTCCCCACGGCTCCTTCCCGGGTTGTTTTCCCAGCACACCGTGACCATTCCACCCTTCCTGGCCCCCTTTGGGGACAGCATTAACACCTCCCTGTCACCAAGGCCCTGCTCCCAAGCCTCTCCCCTCATCCCAGGGAAAAGCCCCTCTTGGTGCCACAGAAGCCAGGGATGGTTCCTCTGCACTTGGAGAGACTTTGTTTGGCAACTCCACCTTTTAAAATGGAGTGTTCCTCACAAATGGAGGGGTTCAGACACATTAAGGCTGCTGTTCCCATCAGGCTTTTCCTTTCAGCTGACCTTTTTCAGGCCTTTCATGATCCAACAGCTGCCTCTTGGGCTGATTTTTAGGTTTCCCTCCCCTCCTGGTTGCTTTAGTGTGTTGGCTTGTGAAGGTTTTCATGGGGAGTAGAATTTGTCCTGCTTTGAATAAGCAGTTCCAAAGCCTCCAGGTTATTTTATTATTTCTATAGGGCAATAAAAGCCATGGGTATTATTACCATATATATAACGGTGCAACTTCAGCTTTCCTTTGGTGTTCTCAGCATGGTAAGTCTTTTATAGAGCAGGATTCCTGTGCTTTTGGGCAGTTGTGAGCATGTTTTCTTTGGATAATAAATAATTACACCAGCCTTTGAACTCAAAAATTAAAATATACATGTAACAGTTTTGTAACTTTCTAATGTTAGATTATAAATGGGAGTAATTTCAACAAGTTGAAATGGCCAGATTTGTCCATGTGGAGCAAATGTTATCAGAGCTGTTCTACTGCAGGTGATTACTTCTAGTAAGTCCTGACATTGTTCTTTATCCTCTTGTTCTGTGCAGCACCCCTTGTGAAAGCTGAGTAATTAATCTGGTTATTGCAAACCTGGTTAGTGATTGGGAAATCACTCATCCCCCTGATGAATAACTGAGATTAACTTCTTGCCCAGGTGATCTGAGTGTCTCTGTGTGAGGGATAATGGGAACCTCAGGAGTTGTGCTGCTGAGAGTGTCTGATTTAAATCTGAGAGTGAAGTAACTGCCTGGTGACTGGGCAGCTCTGTGACCCCAGGGCAGGTGCTGAGGGCTGGAGCTGGAGGGTCTCCATCTCTGGTTTTGCTCCAGCTCTGAAGAGCTCGGAGGTTCCCTTCCTGAGCAGAGCTGTGGCTCTCATGCCTGAGCTGGTCATCTCTGCTGTTTCTCCTCATTAGATGAAGACTAACAAAGGAATCCCCAGCATAGGAAGGGGAGAGGGGGGAGAATTGTTTAAATTTGGGCTTCAGTGGGTCGTGTTAAGGTTCTGGGTATGGAGTTAAGCTCCTTGGGGAGAGCAGCACCCAGAGGGGGAGGACATTCTCACCTGCCTTAGGTGACCTGGCCACTGGAGAGCAGCTGCCCTCTGTGTGTCTTATACTGGGGGACAAACTTTTCAGCGGGGCCTGTTGTGAAAGGACAAGAGATGATGGTGTTAAACTGAAGGACGGTTGATTTTGATTAGATAAAAGAGAGAATTTTTTTGCAATGAGGGTGGGGAGGCCCTGGCACAGGCTCCCGGAGAAGCTGTGGCTGCCCCATCCCTGGAAGTGTCCAAGGCCAGGTTGGAGCACCCTGGGCTAGTGGAAGGTGTCCCTGCCCATAGCAGGAACTGGACTGGATGAGCTTTAAGGTCCCTCCCAGCCCATCCCATCCCGGGATCCTGTGCTGGAGCCATTTGCACCCAGTGTGGTTCAGATGCTCCTGAGGCTGCCACGTGAGCCCTGGACTGAGCACCTCATTAATGTTGTCTTTTCTTTTTCTGTTTTTTGCTTTTTCTCTCTGTTGCCTCCCTTGCTCCTTTTCCTGCTTAACCCAGAAAAACTGATTGAGGGACTCAAATCTCCTGAGCCTGCACTGCTGCTCCCCGACCTGCTGCCCCTCGCTGACCCCTTCGGCAGCACAGCCGACGCTGGCAATGGTAACCACACACCCAGGGCCTCCCCTGGGCCTGGCCTGGCCTGGCCTGGCCTGCATGGTAACTCCACAGGCACCCCCCAGCTCCCAAACCAGCCCCTGCTGCTGGTGAAACACGTGCAGGAACTTGTGGGTTGTGCTGAGACAGATCTGCCTTTTCTCCATGAGGTGAACACCTGAGGAGTGAAGGTTTGGTGTCTGTGTCTGGAATCCAGGGGTACTGATCTGGCACAGCAACGTGGCACAGCTGTGCCTTGTGTGTTCTCTTGGTAGAAGAAAGTTAATTGTTGATTGAAGGGGAAATGCCAAAAATCCCTCCCCTTCTGGTCAAGACTTTGTGTTCAAGCACAGCCCAGGCACTGAGCTGGTCTGTCTCTCCATGGACCCTCAGCAGCAGGAGGAGGAAGGACAGCATTCCCTAGGCCTGGGGAATGCTGGGAATAATATGCTAGGCGGCTGTGAGCCTGGATGCAGGAGGCATCAGGCAGGACTAAGATTCTGGAGCGTTGCAGAATCCTATTTTCATCTACTTGCCAAATAATTGCAGGCTCAGTGGCTGCCATCAGCTGATGGTGTGGGTTGGGGTCCCAGCCGGGGTCCCTTGGCCAGCTGGCTGCAACCTGTGGCTTGGAATAGAGAGGAAGGAAATGAGTCACTGTAACAGTAAAACTTCTGCTCCCTTTTACAATTTTTGGCAGTTGTCTGAATGCTCTTAGATAATGATCCTGCAAATCACAGACACACACACTGCTGTGAAAACAGAAATGGTCATTAATCTCTCTTAGGTTGACCAGTTAGGCCATTTCTGCTTCTAGCATTTGGGTGCATCCTTGTCCTTTAATTTAACGTGATCATTGCCTTGCTGTTGGTCCCTGAGGAGACCCAGACAGTCACTGCATGTGGCTGCTGTGGCAGGTACCTGCCATGGCTCTCCCCTCCCTTTGGGGTTTCTATAAACCAAATCTTTGCATCCAGCCTTTGTAAACATCTCCTGTTGTCTCCACATGATGGGTGAGATGGATACTGGGGATTGGGCCCTCCAGTGAGATGTCAAGTTCCAAAACTTTGTCACCTCCCTGTTGGCTCTGCAATCCTTGCTCCATTGGCCCCTTAAATGGGAACAAAGATCCCACATCTTGGCTTTTTACAGGCTTAACTGGGACCGTGCTAAGGGCTCCAAAGCAGGTATTTTAATGCCCTGTTACTCCTATTGCAAGGGGACTCTGTCATGGTCAGGGTTCTCCTTTTCCTGGACAAGGATCTTGTGGATATTTGCCCAGCCCCAAGTCTCCTGCTTGGCTGCAGGGCAGGTGTTATTAACCTGCTGTTCTGTGCTCTGGGTGTTTCAAATTGGGCTTGCATAAATTAAAACAAATAAATAAACTCAAATAAAGACTCACCCCCAGCAAACACTGATGAGTTACAGTCTTCCCTTGTGTTTAAATTGATTAAATTAATTGCACTCCAGCCTCCTGTGCTGACACAAATTACAGGGTCACTAAGGGCTTCAGACAGCTGCTGCCTCAGCTCCTACTTCTGCCTGTCCTTGCAAACTAACCTCTGGCTTCTCCCCTGCTGTGTCCCTGGAAAGGCAAACCCGACGTGGCAGTGGAGAGCCTGATCCCGGGGCTGGAGGCGCCGCTGCCCCAGCGCCTCGTGTCCCACAGCGAGTCGGTCGCCTCCACCAGGACAGGTTGGTGGGGCAGGATGGGCTGGGGCCAGGGGGGTCTGGCAGCCAGGGAGCACTGGCTGTGCCCATGGAAGTGTCTCCCTCTCACTGCTCTGCCCACCAGCAGGAGCTGGGCCTGCCCTGTGTCCCGTGAGGGGTTCTGGGTGGTTCCTCCAAGGTCCATGTCACTGGTCTGCCTGTGAGGAATGGTTGGATCTCAGGGAAGGGCTCTTCCCCCAAAGGGTGGCTGGGCACTGAACTGGCTCCCCAGGGTTTGGGCACAGCACCAAGGCTGCCAGAGCTCCAGGAGCATTTGGACAGCACCCTCAGGCACGGGGTGGGATTGTTGGGGTGTTTGTGCATGGCCAGGAGTTGGACTGGATGATCCTTGTGGGTCCCATCCCGCTCAGAACATTCCATGGCTCCGTGGTGCATATTCCCTGAGCCCCCATCACAGACCTGTAGGTGCTGGAGCATCACTCCCACGAGCTGCTTTAGGACTGATTGCTGTCCCAGGGAGGATGGCCACAGCCAATTCCTGCCCCTTTTTCACCATACAGGCCTTGAGCAGGCCACTCTTCACAGCAGATGGACTTGAGCTCTTCTCAGAGGTCTCTGAAAACAGGCAGTTTATGTCTGGTTTGCAGCTCTCCCCTCCCTGCACAGCCCCCCCTTGAACCTGTCCCTGTGGGACTTCCTTGTCTGTTCAGCTTCAGAGGGCAGGGCATCCCAGAGGAGGTGGGAAATGTTTCTGGAGGTGTTGGGCCCCTCTGCCCTCACTGAAGGGAATGTTTTCCATCACAAGAAATGGCTTGGATTGAAACTCTGCTCTAAGTGTGTGTGAATGGGAATGTGGGAATGTGAGCCTAACACTCTTTGTGTCCTGTTCAATGCTTCCTTGGGATGCTCACCTGGATCCAGACTCTCTCACTGGGGAAGACTCTCTGCTTGACTGTTCTCTGCTCTCTAACCCTGCTGCTGATCTCCTGGATGAGTTTGCTCCTGTAGCTTTTGCAGCTCAGCCTCACAAAGGTAAAGTGGCCCCTTGCTCTGCCTGAGCCCTCCTGCTGTGTGGGCTGGAGCTGATGTGTAAAGCAAAGCTTGTACTGGTTTGCACAGGCAGGGACTGGTTTACACAGGCAGATGCTCTGACCCGTGTTCTGGTGGTGTTTTCTTTTCTTTCCCCCAAGCCATTGTTTTGTTTTCTTCCCAAACTTAGAATGTACACTGAAGTACTAAGGGAAAAAACATAAAGTGTTCATCTTGACTGTAAAGACAGGGTTTGTCAAAGTAGGTGACATTTCCCATGGAAGAGGGAAGGGAGTTCCCCAGCAGAAGGGATCCAGCAGGCATGAAGGGTGGGCTCTGTGTGCAGCCCTTCCTCAAGGAATGCACTCTGCTTTTGCTTTTCCACATGGGATTTAAGGCCTGGTTTTATGCTAAATGACTAAATCTGGAAGGGAGCCTGATAATCATCTGTCCCAGGGTTTTGAATCAAAAGGTGGGGTTTTTGGTTTGTTGGAGTTGCCATCCCAGGCACATGACTGAGCTCTTCCAGCTCTAGAGAATGTTTTCCTTGCCAGAGGATATCAGGAGAAGTTCTGGAGTCAGACTGCAGTGTCCCAGCAGACACACAGGGGAGCCCAGGTGCAATGTCCAGCTGAGAAAGAGAACACTGTCCTGGGAGCACAAAGCAGAGGGAGGAGGAGAAGCAGAGCGTGTGTGTGGTGATCCCAGGAGCTCAGGCCAGCCCTGGTAGTGCAGCAGTGCTGGGCAGTGATCACAGCTCTGCTCTCTGGCCATTGCTAAACAAGACTTGGGGGACCCTGGAGCTGGGGCAGAGCTCACATGGCTTTTCTTTTTCCCAAGCTGAAATCCAGGCCCTCTCCACGGCTGGAACAGGGGCACAGGAATGCTGTGAGGAGCTGTCAGCTGGTGTGGAGTGTGCACAGGACCTTCTCCTGCTCTGGCCCATCCCTGTCCTGGGCTGGAGCAGCTCTGAGAAGGGCCTGTGTCCCCTGGGGACAGTGACAGGGGCTGGGCGCTGACTCACCTAAGCCAGGCTTGCAGGGAATATTGGATAATACCTGGGTGGGAGGGAAGGCCTGGACTTCTGGGCTATTTATTGCCTTGAAAAGAGAGGCCCAGAGCAGCAGGGCTGATTTCTGGGTGTCCCTTGGTGCTGGGTTGTGCTCAGCTCCTTTGGTGAGTATCCCTATAGCAATAGAAACGATCTGTCCTCAGAGGAATTGCTGTGAAAACAGTCTGTAATCAATTTTTACACTTGATGGCACTTCAGAATGAGTTTGTGTGTTCCACAGAGCTTTTGGGTTAAACAAGCAGTTGTTCTAATTGCTCAGTGCTGTAATACACTTCTGGGCCACTTTATTTTGTGTAAATGGCTTGAGCTGTGTGTGGAGCAGTTCCTGCTCCCTCCTGGAACACAGCAAAGCCCAAACGTTGTTGGTGTGGCTTAATGAGAAAATGAATTAACAGGCTCCTGTGGGGCCCTCCCAGGCTGCCCTGCTTTTTCCTCTGGGATGGGAAAGGATCATGTTTGATGAGAACATGAGGCTCTGTTAGCACAGGAGAGGGGGTGAGGGGGCAAGTTATTAAAATAACTTCCAGAACTAATTTATGGCTTGTTTTCAACCCCTGATTCTCTAGCTCTGGGTGTGGTTATTAACTATGCATCAGTCTCAGTCCTTGATTTGTTTATCCAGTCCTGGTGGGGATGATGTGAAACCCCCCTGGGGCAGGAGCTGCTGGCCCTGGGCACCATCAGCCTGTGGAGCTGCAGCTCTGCCTGTTCCCAGTGGGACCAGGAGGGCTGGAAGAGCAGCCCTGCTCCCAGCAGGGTCTGGTGCTCCAGCCATTCCACAGGATCCTTCCTTTGTCCATCACTGGGCTGTTTGTTGGCCTTGGAATTTGTGCTCAGCCTTCAGGGTCCCTAAATTTGCCTTTGCTGGTTCAGCCCTGAGCTCTGTGTGAGGGGGAGGGTTTTTCTCCTGCCGGTGACACTGAGCTGAGCTCCAGTGCTTTCGGAGGGGTTGTACCCAAGCAGGGACACTCTCCAGCCTTTCCCTCTCAGGATAGTGCAGAGCTGAGCTGTGCTCCTTCAGCACCTCGTGCAGCACCTCGGGCTGGGAGCAGCTGGGGGTGTAAATGCCCTGGAAAAGGGATGCTTGCAGAGGCTCCCGGGTAGGTTGGGAAGAGCCACAAACAAATCTCTCCAGGGACAGAGTGATGACAAGATGAGGCTTCCCGTTAGGATGAAGCACCTTTGTGTGTTTGACTCTTGGCACTGCTCTCCTGGAACATTTTAAGGAAGGGCTGAACGTGCCATGGTCTGGTTAGGATGTGGTGTTCAGTCATAGGTTGGACTTGAGGTCTTCTCCAGCCTAACTCAATCTGTGATCTGAGGTTTGTCCTTCCTGGGTCTGATCCTCCAGGGCACAGTGTAGTTCCACAAGTGGTTTCTTGCATTAGCCAACCCCAAACCTGTTAACATCTTTGTCAGCTCTGGGTAAAGAGCTTTTTTCCCCCAGTAGGAGTCCAACAGGAATGTTCCTGTTCTGTGAAAACCATCAGCTTGTGCGTGTCCTTGCTGGGCTTTTCACGTAGGAATTGAGGAGCAGATTTTGGAAGGTATTTTAGGTGTCTGAAGTGACAAGCAGTGATGCACAGTGAGTGAGGGAGCCTCTGAAGGTACATAATTGCCTGATAAGGTGGATAAATGTTTCATCTCCTCTGGAGATGGTCGAAAGTGCCTCCCACCAAGTGTGGAGCTGTGGCTGACGTGGTTTGAAATCAGTGGATTTATCTCCCAGAGCTGCTTGAGGGGCCTTTAAATCTGGTTACATTTTCAGGTGTGTAAACTCCTTGGAAATCTGACTTGATGTTCACTTGCTGTTTTAGTGCTGTGGGTGAATGCTCATGGGTTTGTCTCAGAGATGATGGGAATTTCTTCTCTGTGTTCTTTTTTTCCCCAGCCCTTTTCCTCTCCCTGTGCTTGAGAGCTGGGAGCCAGAGAGCCAGACTGTGCTCTCAGACCATGCTAATGGCAAAGAACACCTTCAGTCCTTGGGAGTTTAACCCCAGGCCTCTGCCACAGCTCTGAACTCTCCAGCTGAGCCTTCAGACTGGACAGATTTTGTTCTGGCTCTTGTGACTTGGCTTCGTTTGGTTTGGTTTTATCCCCTCTACTTCTGTATTTAATTGGCTCTCCACCTTCTTACCCAGACTTACCAACTTTATTTCACCTTTTAAATGAAACTCCTGCTTCTAAACCCTGTTTCTGAAAACATAGAGATGTTCTAACCCTTCCTGGCAATGCTAACCAGCCTCTCTGCTGTCTTTGCTTCTTTACTCTCTTTCTCTTCTATGCTGCAGAAGATACTAACCTGATATCAGGCTTTGATGCTCCTGAGGGCTCTGAAAAAGTGACAGAAGATGAGTTTGACCCAATTCCAGTGTTGATATCCAAAAATTCACAAGGTAAGCCAGGATGTGGGGGTGAAAAAGGGAAGGAGAAAAGGAAAACAGTGAACATATAAATTAGTTCTGGGGCAGTGGTGCTGCAGCAGGTGTGACTAGTCCAAACCCTAAACTGTAGATGCATCAGTGTGGTATTTAGGGAGCTTAGTCTGTCTCTGAGATATGGTGGCCTTGAAATTTCTGTAGGTTCTCTGTTTGGGAGAGGATTCCATGTCCAAAGAGATAAGAAGTGCAAGGATTTCAGATCCCATGAGGTCACTGCTCCCAGCCTGCCAGGAGAGCACAGACACCTCTGGCTGAGGTGCTGGGAGAACTCTGCTCTCCCACGTTCCCATTTGCTGTCCAGGCCAATAAAGGAGATCCTTTGGCTTTTGAGTGAGCTTGGCATGAGGAACAGCAAACGGGGAGGATGATGATGATAATGATCCTTTATAATCCCAAAACTCCTGCTGAAATTGGGGCTTTTTCAAAGGTGCTTGTGGGAACTGAGTGTGAGGTTTGGTTGATGGTCCCCACCTCCTTTGAAGGGCTCTGAGCAGGAGAGTCTGTGGGACTTCAGACCGTGGTGTCCCTCAGTTGAGGAGCTCTTGGCCAGCACTTCCAGCCTCACACAGGGCTATGGAGGAGCAGCAGCACTTTTGGCTTAAAGCCACAACAGTGCTGTGTTTTTAACTCTTCAGGGACAGAGTCAGGCACCATTTCACAGCCTGCTCAGTGAAGTGGGTCCTGCCTCTGCGGTCACACTGTTGAAAAGTTTTGATTACAGCTTCTGGTGTACTGGTGGAGGTTTAAAGACAACTCTAGGGCTCTTCTTTTTTTTTTTTTTTTTCCCTCAGTTTGATCACAGAACTTTTTGGCTTCCCTAGCTCCCACTTCTGGTCCCAGCAGGAATGTGCTGTGCCCCTGCTCTGCACCCGTATTGGCTTTCAAAGACTTGTTAGACATAGTTCAGACATTACAAACCCTGCTCCTGCTGGAAGTCAGAGATTTCTCCCAAATCTGGGCCAGGATAGGCTGCCTTGAGTACAGAGAAGATTCTTGAGGGGTTGGAACCAGATGGTCTTTAAGGTCCCTTCTAACCCAGCCTGTTCTGGGATCCTTTCCTTATGTGTCCAGGTCCCAGTTACAGAAAGCCCCATGAGAGCTCAGCTCTCCTGGAAGCAGCTGCAAACCAAAGATGCTCTTAAAATAGCAACTAAATTTCAAGATTTAAAACTCTGAACTGTCTTTAGGTTGTGGGAGTCCTTGTAATTGCTTTAGTGACCCTTTAGTAAGGACAGGATTCTGCAGCCTGGATAAACCTCGGGGAAGGAGCTGGTGTTTGTAGGGATTTGTTGGCTGCTGTGCTGGTTGGTTTGGGGGGAGAGGGTGGAAGAGCAAGGAGGGGTTGTTGTTGCTGTTGTGATAGTAATGAGAAGAGCTTGAGCAAATTTTCTGTTTTGCTTTGACTTTTTTCTTTCTTGCTTGATCTTGAACTTCTGAAACTGTCGTGTGTGTGTGTCCTGTTCAATACTGAATTCCTATCTCTCACACTTTCAGGTGGGCATTCTAGAAACAACAGTGGAAGCTCTGAGTCCAGTCTTCCCAACATAGCCAGGTCTTTACTGCTGGTGGATCAGCTGATAGACCTGTAGCAGTGGCACAGTAGCAGCCGCGGTTTCTGTCCCGTACCCAACCCTCCGTCCCGTTGCCAGAAGAGTTTCCTCCCGTTGTGCTTCTTTGGGGCTTTGCTCTTTTTTTTTTTCTTAATTAAAAGAAAAATCTGCCAACAGGAGACAGTCACCCACCTTTCTCGTGTCTTCCCATGGCCTGGGAAGGATTCTGTCTCAGTTCTCCAGGCAGCCTGTCCTCCCTAAAGCTCTGAACGCCTGCTCTGGTTCCTCTGCTCCTCCCCGTAGCCCGTGTGCAGGGAGCACTGTGGGGAGCAGGGAACAGCAGCTGCTCTGGGCCCCTGCCTGCAAGAGCCTCCCCCTGCCCAGAGCAGGGGGGCACGGTGTGGGTCAACCTCTGCTTTGTGCTTTTGGGTCTGGGCTTGTCCCTGTTTTCCCTGGATGGGCAGGAGGAAGGGCCGGGGGACAGTAGTGGGGACGTCCCTCACCTGCAGGATCCAGGTCAGGAGAGCTCATGGCTCTGAATTGGCTTCAGAGGAGGAGGAAGCCCCGAGTTCCTCTGAAACAGCCCAGCCCATACTCTGGTGATGGTGCAGATGAAGAGTTTTCCAGCTGCCCCCAGCCCATGGTTTGCTGTTTAACAATCCTGCTTGGGAATGAACTGCACTTCCTGGGGGAGGGAAAACCAGGAAAAAGGAAAAAAAGAGAAAAGAAAAAAAGGAAAAAACCAGATTGTTAAAGCTGCAGACATGACCCTAGGTGAAACGTAACAAGGTTTTGAACCAAATCCATGTGAGTATGGTTGTGACTGGCATTTTGTTGACTTTTTTTTGGGTGAAAAGGGCACTGTGGCAGCAGCAGATGTATTTTCTGTGATTTCTGTGTTTGACTGGAAAGAAAAAAATCCCCCTGACCTACTGTAAATTGTGTATGAAGCAAATTGTCCTGCGGTCGTTTTGTCCGTTCTCAGTCCCGGTTTTGGTCCAGCCTCTGGTATCTGTTCTGGGTTCCCCTTTCTCCCGTGACTGCTGTGGTGCACCCGGGTCAGTTTGGACCCATTGTTTCAGTAGCAGAGGCTCCTGTGGGCCCTTCTCCCCGGTCTCTGTGAACACGCATGCACTTGGTTCAGGTGGTTTGAAATCAGTGCTGCTACAGCTCAGTGGGGTTTCCCTTTTCTTTTCCCTCCACATGCTTAGTTGGTCAACTTTGCTGGATACGCTCACCTCGTTTTCCTTGGCTTACCCCGAAGTGCGGAATTTCTATCTTGTATTTGAGAGCGCTCTCTGCCCAGAAGGACTGTCCCTCCCTCTGTAGTGGACTCTCCCAGCTTCCTGCTCTCCCCGTGTCTGTGTTTGTAGCTGTATTAGTAACAGTGCAGTTCCCACGTGCGAAAGTTCGAGCGACTGAATGTCTGTGCTGACCTCGCTGAGAAGGGAAGAGACCCATTTGTGACTCCTCCTTTTCCTCTCTCCATCCCCCCCACACTCCGTTTAACCAGTTCTGTACATAGATCTCCCATCGGTTGTGTCTCTACATTACTCTTCTTTTAAAACCTACACTTAATAATAAAAGTATTGCTTAAGTGTGTTGTATCATTACATGTGTATACTGCACTTTCCAAGAGAAGCTTTACATGAGAACTATGGAAATGACCTTAGTAAAATTGTGGATAGAACTTTATTATTTTTTTGTTTTATATTCCTAAAGCACAGGCAAGCTGGACTGGAAAACATGAAGACGCTATAGATAGAAAGTTATTGTATAGTCAGATACTGAGATTATATGAAAAGAGAATGGATTTTAAAAAGTAACCATCTACTGTATATTAGAAACAAAGATTTCTGTGAATTAAAGTACTTTTAAAGAATGTTTAAGATTTTAAATCTAATGGCGCTTGTTCAAGGGTTCTGGAAAAAAATGACAAATGCACTGGGTTGTTAATAATGCTATTAAATAAGCAGATGTGAATGTTTATTTTATTGCTTTTTCAAGTAGCTGTTCGTGGGTGTGGGTGGAAGTATGATATTTTAGAGATGTCTGTTCTTAGACCTCCTTCATCAGCAAATCCTCGCCAGGTGTTTGCAGAGCGAATGGGAGATGAGAGATGAGATGAGTGGAGATTGGGGATTCATTTTAAACTCCAGAAACTGTGACTGTCCTACAGGCACTGGCTGGTGTTGGTGCTGCTCAGAGCTGGGGAGTTTCAGTGGAAGCTGCTGCTGGGGGGGACAGACTGGACCTCCCCCGTGTCCCTGTGGGACGTGCCTGGTACCTGGTGCTGCCCAGGTGGTGTCAGAGTGAGGCTGTTGGAGCTTGGTTGGAGCCTTGTTTGAAGCTGAGGGAGATGTTTCTGTCCCCTTTGAAGGGTTGTGGGGTCAGGAGGTGTTAGGTAACATGGCACAAACGTACAGTCAGTGAAATCCCAGCAGTGTTCTCCTCTCTGCCCGGTGCTGTTCCTGAGCGTTGGGATGACAGAGGGCTCTGGGGCTTGCAGTGGTGGCATTGACTATTCTGGTGGATCCTCCTGGCAGGGAGCTGCAAACACAAGCACAGGACATGGAGCCATTTCCCTTCCCGTCAAGGCTGTGCTGTAGGTGCAAGAACAAACTGGGATTGGGTGGGAAATGTTCAGAGTAGCTGGAATTTCGATATTGGTTCTCGCTTGTTTGGGGGGACATGGGCTGAGAAATGCCCCTGCCTTTGGAAACCTTCTGGTTCACCTCTCAACAGATGGGCACAAGTGTCACCCTACAGTTGAGAGATCAGCCAATTGTGTTGTTTCTGACAATACCCACTGTGTTGGGAGCATCCATCCCAAACCAGAAGGTGCAGCTTCCTGGGTTTGGACTGTCCAAACTTCCTGGGGTCCCGTGGGCCCTCCTTGGCCAGGGCAGCGGGTGCTGTGTGAGCAGCTGGGGCAGTCTGGGCTGGGGGGACAATCTTGGCACCGTTGGCTTTATGGCAAACCTGCATCATCCCCCAGCCCACTCACCACAGGTGAAGGGCAGCTTGAGCCAATCTGTGCAAAGCAAAGTTATTTTTAGTGGGGGCTTCTTGCAAAGGAACAACGAAGGTGTTCTTTGGCCTGAAAGAACAGGGTGTTCCCTCCAGTGGTGTCCAAAAACACCTGCTTTGAAAATTGATTTTTTTTTAAAATTTGTTATTACAGTGAAAGTTCAGGTGTGATTCAGAGCAGGGGCAGAGTTCAGCAGCTTTTGGGGTATCCAAGCAAAGGTGAAATGTGGAGCTTGTGGAAGGGGAACTACAGGAAACGCCATCGGGTGCCCCATGTGCTGCAGCTGCTGCAGCTGAAGTGGGGGCATGTGGAAGTTCAGCCCAGCTTCTCTAGTTCAGGAGCTCCCCTGGGAATCAGTCAGAGCTGGGGAGCAGCTGCTGTGGTGGAGGCAGAGCTGGGATAGGGGCAGTGAGTGATGAGGGAGCTGATGCTCAGCTGGGTCGTGGCAGTGGGATGAGGTGGGTGCCCTGTCTCTGTGCTGAGGTGTGTGGGCACTGCGCACTCAGCTGCTGCCCTCCAGCAGGAAACACAGACCTGGGGGGGAATTAAAAAAGGGTTTCTTGTATTTATTTGTTGCTCCTGTGCAGTCCCTGTCTGTGCTGGGAGGAGCCCTGGTCCAGGCTCCGGATCCTGCTGTTCCCAGGAGGAAGGGTGGGCTGCTGCAGGGACATCCCTGCTGTGGGACGTTCACCCCATGGGACTCGCCTTGTGTTTTCCTTAGCGGGTCATTGGCTGTACCTTAAAGAGGACTCGTGTCCATAACTCCCGGTTTGGGCACAGCCCAGTGAGGGGAGAGCACAAGGATGCTCTTGGTGTCCAGGGTGTTAGTTTGGGAACTGCTGGAATGTGGGGTTTGGGCTTGGTTTAGCTCCTGCCTGGTCTCACTGTCACGGTGCAGGTGGCTGTACATGAGTGCCCAAACTAGGGCATTAAATTCCTTCTCTTGTGGGGCTGCAGGCCCTGGCTCTGCCTCCAGGTCTCCTCCTGTGCAGTGGCTTTGGGCAGAAACACGGAGTTCTGTCTGCACTGGGCAGTGACACAGGTGACACTGACCTGTGGAACTGCTGCCTGGGGGTGGTTCTGTATTGCCTTTAAGGAGATTGCTTCTAGGAATTGGGATGCAAGAAAAGACTCCACTGTGCAAGAACAAAGGAAGGAGAAGCTTTTTGACCCTTTTTAAGTGCCAAACTACTAATCCTGCACACTGGTAATTCTGCTGATCTTTAGCCACAGTTACTGCTGAGACCTTCCTGACTTGGGCTTGAAATCAGGAGAGTTTTCTGTCTCCCCTGACTTTGTTTTGGACTCTGCTCCAGAAGTGAGGTCCTCATCACTGTGGTGACTGCTCTGCCTTAGGGAGTAAATATTTTCTAATTTTGCTCTTGGTTATTTCAGTACTCTCCCACTTCAAGGCACTGTTTTCCTTGGAAGCTGGGGAATGTCCAGGTGTCAGGGCTGTAACCTGGGGTAAATGGCCTTTTCTTCAGGTTGCTGTCTGGATACACAAAGGGTGTATTTCTGGAGTACTGAGTGATAAGTGGTTTTATTTTTAAGGTTCTCCCTGTGGAAAGAGAGCTTGAGTATAGTTTAGAATTTTCTTTAGTACCTGTATCTGACCCTGGAATAAAATATTATACACCGGTGTTGTACAGGGGCAGGGAGAAACCTCATCTGTAAGCTCCAGCTTCTGTAAAGATTTGCTGCTGTAAAGCTTGTGGCTGTTTGCAGTGTGCAGTCCTTAAACCTGAGCACTAAGGAAAACCTGAGGGATGCTTCCCCTTGGAGGAACACCCAGACCTCAGGAGTCTGCAGGAAGAGGGGACAGACAAGGAGCTCCCAGTGAAGGAGCCTGGCTCAGGGTAGGCACATGTTGGGAAATGCTGCCTCTGCCAAAGGGACATCTCTGCATGAGGGGTTGTGGTGCTTTGTGTGTTGGCCAAGAGATCCAGGCCTGGTTCTTTTCAGGCCCCTTGTACAGCGTGAACAGGGCCCAGTCCCCATGGAGGAGGGACAGGGGGGACAGGAGGGACCAAAAGGCACTGCCTTAGTCTGATGAGATTTAGACTTGGGTTCACTCTTGCTGTCACCAGGTCGTGCAGTGACCCCTTCTGTCCTGCCCTGTAACAGAACAAGTGTCTGTTTTGGCCATCCAGGCCTTTCCATGGGGAGCTGTCCCTGGAGCACCTCAGCCCCCCTGGTCTCTGATCTCAGCCCTGCTGGAGCATCTGGAATTCCCTGTTGTCCTGAGAGTCAGGGACAGGAGCCTCTGGAATGATGGTCTGCAAGACCCATAGTTGTGGCTGCTTATGGGAAGCACTGGCCTGGTCTTGTTATCTCTGCCCTGCCCTTCCCACGGCAGGGTTGGGTTTGATGGTGATCTCAGTGCCAGCATTAGCTCAGAGCCTTTTTTACCAGATGGCATCAGCAGCTGTGAGAGGTGTCTGAGCCACACACACAGTTTGCTGAGGTAAAACACTGGTGTGATGTCTTCCTTGTTGTAGGGATGCTGCTATAGCTCCCTCTGGGACCATTCCTTTGCTTTCTGCCAAAGGAAAAGCTGAGGGAACCAAGGAATGTGGGAAGGAAGCTGCTGAGATGGGTTACAGTGGGAGGGGTCTGGAAGTGCCAGGTCTCCCTTGTTCAGGATCAGAGACACAGACCCTGGCAGTGCAGTTGGTGCTCCGGTCCTGCCAGTGAATTCCCAAACTCTCAGGTAACACTTTAACATCTCTGTGCCCATTGTTGTTGTGTTCAAATTACCGGGGCCCTTCCCTTGTGGTACTGCCCAGCAGCTCTGACTGAAGTGGCTCCTGCTGAGGCATCACTTAGGTTTTATCTCCCAGAGTAACTTACAGCTCCTGCACGGGCCTTGGCAAGGGAGAAAACAGCCTCTGGGCATTCAGTGCCCTTCTCTCTTAGGATGGGCAGAGAGAGCATTGGAAAAAGCCATTTTTCCTGAACTAGAGTGTTCTGCCTCTCGTCTGGTGCCTCCCGTTCAGAGCCCTGAGCAGAGCTGAGATCCTGCCACCCTCTCTGACTCTGTCCCACACGTCCTGGCTTACGTGGGCACAGGGACCTGCTGACACACGTCACCAGGCAGGGAACACCGACCAAACGGTGTTTGTGCTGTTCTTGTGCAGAGTGGGCCTTGGTTTGCACTGGCATCATGTTCTCTATGGTAAATGCCTTTTTCCCTTGGTTCCTTAATCTGTAGTTCATGGGGAATTCGGAGGCATTTGTGTGATGTGGCAGCTGCTCTTGCTCTGCCTCAGCCTGTGTGCCCAGAATGTGCCAGTAACACCTGGGCAGTGTGTACCCACCTCCACTGGGGCCGTGTGTTCCTGTGATCCAAGGGTGGCATCTCAGGGGAAACCAGTGCGACAGCGGAGGCTTCAGGAAAGAGAGAGAGTGTTTTTGTAGAGCAACTGGTCAAATGTTCACATATCTGCACTGTCTTTATTTAGCAGTGTCGTGTATCCAAGTGAAGAGTTTCCCAATAAATACCAGTTTTGATGCCTAATGAATGCCTGCTGTGTCTTTAATTGTGAGAGGTGCTGGAGAAGGGGATAACCTGTGTGTGTCCACGGCTCATGGAGCAGTGCCCTGAGGGCTGTGATGGGTGTGCAAACATGAATGACTGACCTGGGCAGAGCTTCCCCTGGGTGAGGAGGCTGCTCTGGCACAGCAGGGTGTGTGGGTTAGTGCCCCGCTGTCCGTGGGCACCAACCAGCCTCCTCACCCTCCTCGTTCTTCCTGCAATTCCTACTGCTTAGTTTTCATGTGATTTTTTCCTGTCCTCTTGCTAACATGAGTCCAATGACACACTCCCAACCTGCCAGTAGTTCTGTGAAGGTAAGAGATCTTCTGTTCTGTCTGTGTGAGTCGTGAGGCAAAACCAACCCTGGAGAAGGGCAGGGCAGCCTCTCCCTGCACTGTCTTGTTATCAAATCCAGAAACAAGCCTGGTCATTGTAGTCATGATCCTTGATTTAAAGTCAGGGTATGGATGTTTAAAAATGGTTTCTCTGGCAGTAGTTTAAAATGATGCTGCTGCAGTTACAAGGATTCACTAAAAGCTGTAGGCTGACCTTCAGTCTTTGAAAAGGCCATGTTATTTTAGCAGATTGAGGGGCATTCCTGTGTATTTTCCAAGCCTGAGTGTAATTCCACGTATCCGTGGGCTGGCTCACAGGAACAGAGGCTGTGCCAAGTGGTGGCTGTGCTCAGAGGGCAGCCAGCAGGGCAGCAGGCAGTGACAGAACTTGTTCACTCTGGGCAGCAGCGTTGGGACGTGAACCCTCTGCCGTGGTGTCGTCGCCGCGGGTGGGAGGGAGAGGAGACCTGTGGGGTGGTGCTGAGAGTGCTGCGTGTGCCCCTGCGTGTGTCAGACATCCTCCACCTCTGAGCAGTGGTGCCTGTGTGTCCCCAGGCTGGGTTAGTTGTGTGTCAGCTCGTGTGTCGTAAACACCTTCCTGGCATTTTTAGTTCCATTGGTTTCCCTCCCTCTCCCGCCCATTTTCCATGCGTGGTGGTGGTTTCCATCTGAACAGTGTGATGTTCTTGTGTCATAAGTACCTCTCATGCTGACTGATGACCAAGGGCGTGGAGCTGGTTGAGTAACACTCTTCTCTTGTGTTTGTAGGTCTGCAGAGGGATCCAGGCGTGTTCCCAGCTGTAGCTCTTGAGCTCTGTAAAGCAGATTCTGGCAGTGATGGACTCGCTTTGTACAAGGGTCAGTCCAAGATGCTGGAGGTGAAAGTGCAGCACAACTCGGAGTCGGAATATTTAGCCAGAGATGGTCCTTCAAGCAACAGCTCCTTCTACAGCAGTGAAGGAGAGGGGACAGACCATGAGGGAGATATTCTGGATTGCAGTGGGTCCAGGCCTTTACTGATGGATTCGGAAGAGGAAGAGGAGACGTGCAAGCTCTGCCCAGGGTTCCTGCAGCCTGTGCCCAGGGAGAGGCACGAGGCCTCCAAGGGAGATCCCCACTCCCAGTCCAGAGCAGGGGAGATGCTGTTCCCAGCCTTCCAGTCGCACACCGGGGAGGCTTTTAACGAACCTGATGTTTTTGCCACGGCTCCTTTCCGAAGCTCCAGGAAAGTGCCGGATGAGGGGGATGTCTTTACCAAAGCTCCTTTTCTCTCCAAGGGCAACGTGGCTCTGCGACATCCAGAAGAAGCAGATGTGTTTCTGAGAGCCCCTTTCACTAAGAAGAAAAGCATGGAAGAGTTGACTTCCCATAAGGAGCCGTTCCCAGCACCTGTTTTCCTCAGCCAAGGGGGCGATGGCCGAGCTCTCCCGCTGTTCCCCAGCCTGGATTCGGCGGCGCACGGGGCCGCGGCCTCGGCGAGGTCTCAGTATCCTCCTGCCGGGTTCCCTCAGCCAGGCAGCCTCCATCCCTGCTCCGGGAGAGCTGTGGAGGCCCAGGAGAGCGTCCCTGCTAAAGGAGGGCTGCCGGAGCAGGGGGACGTGGCTGGGGAGAGGAGCCAAGGCCCCGCGCTGCCCCCGGACGCCGTGCTGGGCGCCGCGGGGAACCAGCCTTTCCGTCCGCAATCCCTGTCCAAGTATTCCCGGCACTACAGCCCCGAGGACGGGCCAGGCCTCGAGGCCAAGCCCATAGCTGCTTACAAAGTGGTGTCTCAGACCAACAGGCAGGCCATAGTGGGCTCTGTCTCTGTGGTCCCGCTGTCCTCCAGGACTACGGAGCTGCCCGGCGCGGATCCCTTCTCCTCGGCGCCCTTCCCTTCCAAAGCGGGGAAGCAGAAGCCTTAACGTGCTGGGGGTGGGGCTGTGCTTCCTGCGGGACACCTCGCACAGCACCTCGGGCCTCTGCGTCGAAATGAGTGACACAGCAATATATATGTATAAAATAATTATTATTTTTGGTCGGAACTCTCTTTGCAGTGATAGGTAGTGGAACCGTTCTAAGTTATGTTAGTCCCAATGCCTGGCTCTCAGGATCCTCAGAGCCTTTCTCACCTTCCTCCTCTCACTGTCTTCCCCCCCATTTATTTTTTTAGATGCTTTTCTAAACTAGTAGTATTCCATATTTTCTGGTCCTGGCTAGAGAAATGCATTATAAGATGAATTAAAAGGTTTATTAATTACAGAGCAAGTCAAGCAGGACTTGCTAATGCTCTGGAAAGGACGTGATTTCACAGGTTAAAGGCTTACTGTGACTTCTTTGCCGTCAGTGCTATCCCTGCTGCTCAGCAGCGGTGTGGCCGTGGCAGCTGTGGCTCTGGGTGGGTGTTGGGGGTGATGTGCCCACCCAGGCAGACCCTGCAGTGCTCTCTGGGGCCAGGCTGTGCAGGGTGGTGGGAGCAGAGCCGTGGCTCTGCTCTCCCTGGGGTGGGACACGTGGCAGTGCTGCCCGGGCTGGGGCCACACCAGTCAGGGAAGGACTCACAGTGCCTTCAGTCTTGGGAACTCCAGTGAGGCAATCAGGCTGTTCCTGCTGCTGGAAAATCGAATTATTGTGCAAACAATCAGGCAAAGCTTTCACTTTTACACATGTATTTCCTGTCTGGTCTATGCCAAAGTGTAGGACCCGGAAATCTGCTCTTGGTGAAGGAGAGATGTGTATTTACAGTATTAAAAATAGACCTTTGGGGGAAATTTATGATGCAAACAGCTCCATAGCTGTGCTGATGTACCTCACGTGGTGTGACTTGGCCCTGTTAGGTGGGTTTGTACTGGCAGAGCTCGACTCAGAGTAAATTCTGCCTTTTGTTTTCTTGTCGGTTAAGGATGAACTTAAACAAAATCCATTCACTCTCCTTCCGAAGTATTACGTTTTCTATCCCAGTCCCAAAGAGAAGGACAAGTACTTACTGTGTGAGCAGCCAGAGTGTTCAGAGGCAGAATCCCCCAGGCAGGCACTGGGCAGGCCCAGAGCAGACTGTGCTCCCTGCTCTGCTCACTAGTGGAGGACAGAGAGGAGAGTGGAACCTCCCATGATTATTTTGCAAAATGCCTGGTTGCAGAAGTTGCCCTGGATCTGCTGTTTCTGGCCTGCAAAGGTGCTCGTGAGAGTGGACTGGCTCTCAAAGACCTGGTTATCAGGGCTCTGTGGGATCCCAGTCCAAGCTCCCAGTCCAAGCTGGAGCCTTGTGCTGAGGGTAAAGGACACACTTTGTGTTTGGGGGTCTCCCACGAGTGGGTTTGTGGTCTTTGGACGTTTGCAGGGGAATTGTTGGAGCCGTGGGTTGGTCTCTGAGGTCAGGACTGGCTGTGTGCAGAGCAGGTTCCTCCCTGTCCACTTGCTGACGTGTTTGTACTCAGAGCAAGTCCTGTGAGTAGTGTCCCTCGAGTAGTGGCCCTTGGAGAGAGGGAAGGATCAGCTGTAGCTCCTCCTGACTCACTGGAGTCACACCCTGGGGAGCTGCTGCAGCTGAAAATAGACTTGGGTGTAGTTTGGAGAGAAAAAACCCTGAGACTACCTCCAGCACATGGCTCTGTCCGAGGTCCAAATAATAAGTGTTATAGGAACACAGGGGGCACAGAAAAGATGTGTGTGAAGGCTGAAAAAAAGAGGACGTTGCACAGTCTGGGGCAGACTCGCTGCTCACCTTTCATCCCAGCCACACAGCGGGAGGATGGAGGGATGGATGGACAGGTGGATGGAAAATCCCTGAGTGCTGGGAGGGGACTGCAAAGCATCTGCAAGTGGGAATCACCGACTGCTCAGTGTTCCCTTTCCCCTCCCTGAATTTGAATCCCCTCCAAAATATCTCCAGTTGCAAGAGATGAGCCAGGTGTTCTGCTGGACACGGGGGTTGCCTGGAAGGGAAATGCTTGGGCTGAGGTCTGAGAGCCCTGGGCTGGGCAGGGAGAATACTGGAAAGCAGGGAGGCCACGTTGGCTTGCACAAGTTCCTGGTGAACAGGTCAGCTGGAGCTTGTGGAGCTGGGAACCTTCTGCCCTGCTCTGCTGCACTCACAGCTAATAAATATTGGTGCATAGTGGTGGTTTAGGGGCTTTCTGTCCTCCATCACCACCTCTTGAAAATAGAAGTACTGTAAAAGAAGTTTCTGGGTTTCCCTTGAGATGTTTATTCAGCAAAGCTGAGGCTGTTTATTATGTTTTGTTTTTTAGTTTTCTGTTTAAATATACACCCAAAAGGTGGTTGGTTTTGTTTTTTGTTTTAAATCTCTGTATCCCCAAGTTGGTTGTTGCTGGATTGGATCAGTGAGAGGCCCTGAGAGCGACTGTGACAGCAAACTGTGAATTCAAGGAGGGGGAGTGTGAGGGCCCAGATTTGTCCCAACACCAACCTGTGTCGCAGCCACACTGAGCCAGGAGGCTGCACTTGGCCTCGAGCTCTTAAATTCACTCAGAAGCTGCTGGAAGGGAGGCCAGGCCTTGGCAGTGTGGGATGAACCTGCGAACAGGGAGATGCTTTGCTGAACCCCAGGTGGGTTCAGGGTGTTCCCTCTGCTCACTGCATTCAGGTTCTTCCTGCCCTTCATTTTTACTTGAAAAATTGCTTTTGGATAATTCTGTGAAGTTTCTGGCCTTGCCACGTCCAGGTGAAACCGAGCTGGTGCTGGAAGAGTATTAGCCTGTCCCCTCTGTGCTCAAAAGGGAAGGTACACTGGGGTGTCTGGGCTCATTTCCAGCCCTGTTAGGTTGGGTCAGGCTGAGTTTCCAGCTGGCATTTTGGCAGCTTTTTTGTCCTTCAAGCACTTTACACAAATTGCAGGCTGACTGTGCCCTAGAGCTCACAATCCTGCCAGACACATCCAGTGCTTAAATGGTTTTAAATCTCTTCTGAGGGTGGAGGCAGCTCGTTTGTATCTCTGTATGTGGCTCATAAAGTAATGGGACTTTTGGTTATGGTCATAAGACTCAATTTCAGGGCCTGTTACTCTGATATCCTTCTCATTTCCAGCCTGTGTTCCTCCTAATCCTGCACTGCCACTGCTGCAGCCTCAGTGTGATGAGTTATAAATGGAAATTTCATTTCTCTAGTCTCTGAAGCTTGCTGTTGTAATGTTAAAACAGGGAAGAATGATGCTAATTATTTGCCACACAACCAGTGATCCTAATGAAGTAAGACTAGTACAGCCTCAATGCAGTGTTTTGAAATCAGTTTTCTGAAGAGGAGCACTGGTTTCATCTCTTTAGTAAAGCTGTAGTAAATTCTGTTCACTGCCCTGAGCCCTCGTGCTGGTGCAGGGATCATTTGGACAATCTGGGATTCCTGCTGGGAGAGGGAGTGGTTCTTGGTTCTCACTCCCTGAATGCACTTCAAGTCTCTTTTCAAAGTGATTAATCAGAGTTTCTGTGTGAATAGAGCAAGCAGTTGGCTTGGCTCTGTGCTCACTGCCATGACGTTGGTACAGCGCCGTGGGGGGACCTGGACCTGTGTCCTGCCCGGCTCTGCAGGATTTCGGGGGCTTTCCCCGTGTCTCCTCTCCCTCCAGCCAGCTCGGCATCGTCACACCTGGTGTTAAGTTTACAGTTCAGCCTCCTGAAGCCAGCACACAGCCAGCCTGGGGTGCACACTCTGCCTGGAGCACAGAGGTGATGCTGAGCTCCGGCCCTGTGAGCATCGAGACACATCCCAGAGCGCGTCCCCCTCGGGACAGCAGCAAACTGGGCGGGATCTGCTCAGCTGCTGAACTGTCAGTCACTCCAAAGTGGTAATCGGTTACTTTAACTCAGCTTCCACCAAAGACTCTTCTGTTGGGGAGTTGAATTTTTGTTGGTTTTTTGTTTGTTTGTTTTCCTCGTGGTGTTAAATCAAGGCCTTTCAGCACACCGACAGACTCCAAAGCATTTTTACAGTAGTGTCCTGACAGTGAAATCTTGGTCCAGTTGGGAAACACATTCCTGAAGCCTGATCACAGCTGCATTAGTGTTTCTAAAAATAAGCCATGGCCTGTAGTTTCCGTCGTAGGTGGGTAAATACCCTCACACACACCTAGAAATGCTCCCTGTGAAGCTGGAGGGATAATGTTGATCCAGTGTTCCCGATCCCTCCCAGGGACGGGTGGGAGGGCAGGGGACTCACTCGGGTGTAGGGTGCAGTGGGTAGAGCACCCCCACCCAGTCCAGGAGCGAAGGAAGCTCCCTTGTTCCCACGTGGAGCGGGAAGGGGAGCTGGGAGTGTTTGTGGGCCCCTGACTGTGACACACAACCTGACTCGTGTCCCACGGGCAGAGTTTCCCCTCTGTGTGGTCCCTGAGCAGCCGTGGAGCCACCTCAGCCTGGCACATCAGTGGGGCCAAGTTTTGCACTCCAGGTGGGATCATCTGTTTCTGGTAATCATGAAGAAATGTTTGACTTGTAAACTTCTGTACATTTTATTAAAACACTATCTGATGACACTACATTGTCTCCTCTGTGCATTCCTTATCCCCTCCCCTTGCAAAATATTTTTGCTAGATACAGAGAATCTGGGTTTTAATGAGTTTTTTCTACCTGGGTCTGACCCTGCTGTTTTATCTGGCAGCTGTAAAGTCAAACTGATCTTGTTGCTTTAAGCAGTGGATATTCCAGTTTATATCCAATTTTTATATCCAGAGAGAGTCCTTCCCATCCAGGGCAGAGCTGCAGCTGCAAACAGCACAGAGCAACTGAGCTCTCCCTGCAAAGCTGCTGCTCCTCAGTGGGTTTAATGCTGGTGCATCTGGACATCCAGGGCTTGGGAGATGTTGAGTCTCCGAGTGCTGGTGATGTGTGGTTTTTCTAGATCATTCAGCTGCCAAGACCTACAAGGGGCTTTGGTAGTGCTTTGCAGAGTGGACTTTGCTTAATTTAATTTCCATCTTGGTAAATGGGTCCATTGGGAAAGACTTTGTGCTGCCTTCTGCCCTGCTGCAGCTGCTGCTGGTAACACCCAGGTAACAGCAGAGCCTGGGAAGGCTGAAAGCGAAGCCTTTACATTCTCAGAGCTGCCATATTTTCTTTTTTTAATTTTCTCCCCTCTTGAACATGCATCCATGGACACACATTAATGGCATTCTCCATTAACGTTGTCTGTAATTTAGTGTTCCCCTGAAAAAGCCACATTTGAGGTTGATTTGTTGAATGTTCATTTTGGGTAGCCTGTGATGCTCAGGAAAGAAAATAAATACAAGTAGCTGTGAAATTTGCACCCCAGAGATTTAAAACCCTGCAAAGCCTGGAGCTGCTGCTGCAGGAGAAGAGGGGCACAGTGAACCCATCCCAGAGAGCACCTGGGAGGGGAATGCTCCACAGCCACATCCGAGCCAAGCTGGGCATGGGGGGAGGAATGACAGGATCCAGGAAGAGGTTTTGGCAAAGCACAGGAAAACGTGTGTTCTGTGAGTGCAGCTCCTGCCAAGGTACAGCAGATCCAGTGAGGAATGACTGAAACAGGCTGAGGTTTTGTTCAGGGAACTTTGTGGGGGTTTTAGGCTGTTTTAGTTGTACGAGAAGCAGCAGCGATCATCGGACCGATGGAAGTGACTTTCTGGTCCAAAATGGGCAGGACTATAATCAGACCAACGGGGGGGACATGCAGCCCTGGCCCAGACATGACCTGGGATCTCTTTAATTTGCTGACATTGTGGAGGTGTCTCCTTCCTCCCTGGGAAGACTCTTCTTTCTTCTTGCTCAAGGGCCCAGAGCATCGGCCCCTGCACCAAGAGCTTCCACTTCAAATACATTCAGATCAAAATAAAAGCATTACCTCTTAACTCCCTCTGCAGCCACCCTGTCTGGAATGTTACTGGGGTAAATTTGCAATTTTTGATGGCTTGTGAGAACTGGAGGGGAGTGGAGGGAGGAAAGAAAGGCTTTTTGTGTGTTACCGGGCTCGGAGGTGAAATGGGGGCTGGAGGGGCTGTTTCTGAGCACTGTTGGTAACTGTGCTGCTCCTTCAGGGCTGGGACAAGGACGTGGGGCCTCATCCCCCTGGAACGTGCTGCAGGGCTGAGAAAAAAGTAAATATTAATGAAATAATTGTTACCCTTGGGGATGGTTCTTTGGGGTTTTTTTTTGGGGGGGAGGGTTTCCGTATTTTTATTTATATGTCTATATTTCTGTATTTATATTTCTAGCAAACATGCTGACTGTGGACAGGACACAACTGTAGGCTGAACACGAGCCTGGGTGTGCCCAGGGGGCAGGAGGTCAGTGGCCTCTGGCCTGTCCCAGCCATGGGGTGTCACAGCCCCAGGGCAGGGCCCGTCCCTGTGCTGGCAC